TGGCCTCATTATCTTGAAGTTCCTTTGAAATCTTTCTTGACCACCGCCATACTCGACGACGGTATAAGCTTGTCTACTACGAAGGCTATAGACGAAAGATATTCCCTGGGGTTCAGCACCAACCCAATCCAGTGTAGGGTAATCGACGGTGTCAACCAAGGTAATAGTTTCTTCCATTGTGCTTGTCTCCTTGATGTTATTACGCCCCGAGGACTCGGGAATGTCGGCCATTTACCTGCAAAGTACAGGAAACCGATGAATTCGACAGCAAATCCGCTTGCCCGCCACAAAGACGGGGAGAAGTAAGCAATACTCAGATCGAGTCTACGACCATTCGCACGAGAAACGGGAAACAAGTGGATCTCAACCAAACACCGACCCCCAGCGGCAAACGTACATTAATCATGAACGACGCGAGCATAACATGAGTACCCCGGGCGAAGCATGAATCCCGCGACCAAGTTCATAATTTTGCTGGCCCGATACAAGAATATTACGGGGAAACTAGCCTACGTACTAACGAAAGGATGAATCTCCCGACCAATTTCATGAATCCACTAGCCAAAACGCATGAGTGTCACGGGCACGATCATGAACCATATGCCTAAACTTATGAATATTCCAGGCACAACCATGAATCAAGCGCCTAGCGCGCTTAAATCTATCGGGCGTAATCCCCAGACACAAGTTTCTATTACTAAAACATCGTCAAATATATCTACAACACGAGAAATCAAAGGGAAGAGACACTTACTTGGAAGAAGATTTGAAGAGCGACGGTGGTGGAAGTAATCAGACGGCGGACGGTGCGGCGGTCTCAGCGACGTTATGAAAACTCACGACAATGAAAACAAAGGAAATATGAGAAGCGTGAAGAGGTGAAACGAACCATGGGCCCTGGAATCCTATTTATAGAGATGACGTGGAATATGAAACATCGTGTCGGGGAACCACAAACCGCCCCCGTCCTCGACGCCTACTTGCCTAGACAATGATGGCCCTATTCTCTAGGACGACATTGTGATTTCCAAGGGCTACGCCATGTGCCCAACTGACGCATCCCCGTGAGCGCTCCTCGAACACTCCTCGACGGGGAAAATCCCGGTATCACGCACGCGATCCTCGCGAAAGAGCAAACTGGAATCAAGTCATAACTCCTGTACCAGGAGCAACGACTTGGGGGGCTCCTGTTCTGAACTGGGCCTGCCCATGGCCCAAATCACCAGTAAGGCCCAATCCAAGTCATGCCACGTGCTATGCTGGGCATTAGATCCTCCGAGCATACCCGGTCACGGGCTATAGGTCGAATACGACCATGCCCGCTGGTGCCCGCGATGAGAGACGCCCCAGACGAGGAACATCTCAATCCAAGCCTTGCTCGAGTACCCTCATCGTAGGGCGGACTCTCGACTCCTCTGGATGTTTCGGAGTCCTCAGGGCCCCGAGAAGATCGCGTCTTCACCCTCCCTATTATGCGGAGAGCATCATCCAAGTAGGGGACCACGTGCAGGTCTCCACTACTCACATAGAACCTGGCAGTCCCTTTGTTGGGCCTGTTTGGTCAACCCAATAAAGGGACCTTGGCCCAGTGCTAGGGGCTATAAATACCCTCTATTTCAAGAGGGTCAGATATTCATTCATTCACACTTACATATAATTCGCCTGCTCATTCCGTCTCTCACTTTGTCATCAGAGTGTCTTGCATGTACCCCCCATCTCCTTCAAATCTAGTTCGAACCAGCTGTGACGGTCAACTCTGATCAGGTACGATCAAAAAGGTATAAGTTTTTTTATAAGTTTATTTAGTTCAGAAGAGCGGCTCACAAACAATAAAAAAATCTTTTAAATCTATCAGCTGACTTATTTCAATAAATTATTATTATTATTATTAATATTATTATTATTATTATTATTATTATTATTATTATTATTATTATAATAATAATTATTATTATTATTATATTTGTACTTTGAACTAAAATATAAAAATCAAGTTTAATTCTTTTAAAGAATTTGTGAAAATAAATTGAAAAATCTTTATAAATAATATATAAATATTTTTCATAAGTTCTTTCAAATAAATAATATCATATAACTTATGTTAATAAGTGAATTTGAATAAGTTAATACATTTAATTTCGTTGATCTTTTAATTTATTAATCTATTTAAATATTAGTTAAATTACTTATTTACAAATTTTTAAATAAAAATAGTTAATAAACTAAACAAACCTTTAAAACAACTAAACTCAAACCTAAAAATAAGTTTATGATAAGTCACATGTCAGATTTAGACTTTAAAATTTTTAATGGATAAGAGTCAGATTTAATAAAACTTATTTCGATCTAAGATATTCTCCTTCTATTTGTCAATATTACAAAGCAATGTATGAACTAACTAATATTATCTTATTTCAAGATTATATATATATATATATATATATATATATATATATATATATATATATATATATATATATATATATATATATATATATATATATATATATATATATATATATATATATATATATGAGGTGAGATTGTTATTCTTTTGATTTTCTATAATCAACATTGTCATAAAATAATTTTCTTCTTCTTTATTTTTTTTATAAAAAATAATAGTTTAGTGCGAATGCACAGGTAACACACCAACGCCTTATGAACGTACGAGTAATCATATCAAAATTCGTACAAACACACGTGTTATTAAATTTTTTATAAAATTAAAAAAAGTATTAATCCAAACACTAAAAAAATATGTTTTTTTTTAATTATTTATATATCTAATATTTTTATTTTGAAGTTATTTTTAATTTAAGTTACAATTTTTTTAAGACAATATATAAAAATTATGGATGTAAAATAATTTTATTTTAATTTTAAAAATATGTATTTCTTTTAAAAATAATAGATGATTTTGATAAAATAATTTTATTTTTCTTATTTACATTTTTATTACATTTCTAAAATAAAAATGTGTGTATCACACTAGTACTCATGCGAACGCACGGATAACACACGGATTTCTTGTGAACGTACGAGTAACCTACTAAAATCTATGAGAACGCACGAGTTATTATATTTTTTTGTATAATTAAAAAAATAAAAATAAAAATAATGTATTAATTCAAACATGAGAAAAATATATTATTTTTTAATTATTTATGTACCTAATATTTTTATTTTGAAATTATTTTTAATTTAAGATATAACTTCTTTTTAAATAATATATAAAAAATTATTGATGTAAAACAATTTTGATAAAACAATTTTATTTTAATTTAAAAATATATCTTTAAATGACATACAATTTTATTTTTCTTATTTATATTTCTATTACATTTTTAAAATAAAAGGTGTGTATCATACTAATACCTATACGAGTAACTTACTAATTTAATTTAAAGTTCAAATTTAGTTTGGTCCTGATTCAAAGCAAAATTAAAAGTCATTAATAAAATAAAAATGGCCTCTAAGTGAAAAGAAATATGAAATGGACAATTGAAATTTACAAAAATACAAATGAAGATACAATCCAAAATTACAAAAATGTAAATTAAAAGCCAATTAATTATTAACTTTTTGTCCTTTTCTTTAATGTATGCTAATAAAATGTGAATATGAGACCACGTGGAGGCAACAGTGGTCTGAATTTTATAAATGTTTTTTTAACCATGTTACATTCCAGTACCCTGTTTCTAGTTAAGGTTTTTCTTTAGTAACATTTCACACCTTCACCTCTCATCGAATAAAAGTTGCAATTACTATAGGATTTACAATCATAATAAAAGTAACTAGACAAAGAAATCTAATATAAATATATAAATTTCAAAGTATCTGATAATGATAATATTAATTAATATTAATTTTTTAATTAATTTTTTTTATTTTGTTAACTGTAAAGATAAATTTGTCTTTTTGAATAATGTTAGATTTATAGTGATTTGACATTAAATGTGGCTGATGTGTCTCACTTAAAATTTTTATTACATTTTAAATTATTTTTATTTCATAGTTTATTTAATCTAAACATTTATATTGAAACAAATATGCACTTGGAAACTTAAAAGTCAGACCAATTTACAACTCCTGCCACCCTTGAAAATTAATATTATATATTCACTATGTTGTATGCATTCCTTGAGAACTGAACCTAGATAAACTCGATCTACGGAATAGAACAATGGCAAATCCTAATTTTCCTCTTATGTCAAACAATTTTATTGTCTATGTTATATGTTCTTTATTTGGTTTACTTCAATTCAATTTGCAGTTTCTTTAGGGAGCATGAGATTGAAATTGGTGGGTGTGTTATGGTTGCAGACGGAGGCTGGCTATGTCGAATTTGTTTGCAACTTTGCATTCAAACTTTCCTCTTTTCTTTTTCTCACTTTTTCCGTGTATGTTCTGCTTTGGGTGTTGTCTTTTCTGCTAAAATTTTGTATCAACAATTTGTAGATTTGTGGTTTATGTTGTCTTAGAAAATAGTATGAAAGGATGGTTTTATGGTATGTTGAGCCAACATAGTGGTTTTTGCATGAAACTTGAAGGTAAACAAGAATGGTGCAATGATGATTGTTAGAACAATTGCGATGTCGACATCTAAACGCAGATAAGTTTCTCACTTTCTGTATCACGATTGGTTATGAGCTACCATGTCTGATTTATTTTTCTAAGATCTGTCCAGGTTTGCACCCCAGTGCTCGATGAAACTGCTATTCATGGACCATGTTAAACAAACTTCAATGAGATAACTTTACTGTGATTGTGGTGTTGAAACTGCTTCGGTTTGTGTTGTCGCAAGTGTTGATACATTTCTTTTCAAATCCAGATTTTGGTGATGCTATTGTTGCATCGTATGTGAAGCTACAGGTACGGAATTGAAGCTTCAATAGTTGATGTATTTAAATGTAGTGTCAATGCTTCATGTCATCAGAAGGCAATAATACGAAGGGAGACAAAGAAAAAGTTGCTTACATTGACACAAAGAACTTTGTATGCTCTTTATTACTCTCTACTATTCAAAATTTACGATTGTCTATTCAATTGATATTTACTTACCTAAGTTTTATGTTCATTCGCACTGTAGTCGACCTGACAGAATTGTTTCCATAGCTAAGAAACTTGGCATAAATCTAGGAAATATGTTGGACAATGTATATTTCCTTTGTTTCATAAATAAAAATATATGGATCATAATTGGCTCTTGGTGGTGGTGAATATTTTAGTTCTTACTGCTAACTAATTTATTTTTCTTAATGTATAAGATTATGTATGCTCGTGCCTACACTTATGAGCATCAGTATAACATCCTCCCTGGTTTGGTTGAAGAACCTTTCAGACTTTTGGTGAGATGTTACCAATGAAGTAAAATAGAGTTATCTTGTATTGCAATATCATTTGAAGTGGAGAATTGACAGAAAATATTTCTGTTGGCAGATTGTGGATTCTGTGATTGCTCTTTTTCGGTTGGACTTTACTTGAAGAGGAGAGCTTGCTGAACGCCAGGTGTGTGAGTCTATTAAGTATGTTGGAATTTCCCTAAAAATGCTTTTTTTAATGTCAATGCTGAGTTTGGTATTCTTTTTAAGTTTTATCTGATGTTGATGTATATAATTGCTGGCATGGTTACCGGTATCTCCCATAGCAATAAATAAACTGTTTCTCAATTGTATATGCATCATATCAGCATATAATTTATTGGATAGAATACAAATGTTACTCAGATTAACTGTAGGGTAAAAGATGATTGAAAGTTTATCCAGGATTTTGTTTTTGACATGAGATATTTAAAAAAAAAATCCATTATCAATCTAAAATTGTATTTGCCAACTGGTCCTGTTTTGAATTAGATTATCAATTATCAATTTTGGTTATTTATACTTTCCTGTTTGGATATTTTGCAGTTATTGTTTCCGATTTTCACCTGCTTGAATAATCAAAGTGCAATAAGATATTAGATATACCGGAAGTAGATTGCACTTTAAGACATAATGACCAAGTTGTGTTAAACCTTTTTTGACGTGTGTTGTTTCATTGTTGGTTTTTTTATCCTTTAATGAGTTATATTTGTTCTTTTATAGAAATTAAAAGTAAGAGATTTCAATGAGCTAGCTTCATAGAGAACTACTTGTATAAAAGTTGGTGTGTTTGATCTTTCCTATTTTGAGTAATGTTTCGTAATCATTCTGTCATTTTTCGATTGTTTTGATTAACGTAGATTTTCAACTATGTTTTTGACAGGTAGAAAATAACTAACAGAGTGTCAATGATGCATGATTAGTATAACCCATTGCCTCTTTTTCAATATTCAAGATTGAAATATAAAATCATGAGAATTTATAAGCACATTGGACAAGAAAGAAAAATACTAAATTTTCAATAGTAGAAAGTATTTTCCATTTTATGAGCACACTAGCAGGTCAATGGTTGCTTTATGCTCCTTGGTTCTATGCATAAACTAATGTTAATTGTATCAGCCAGTATACTTTATTTATTAAGTGGATTTATTAAAAATTCACTTAACAGTCATGTGGAGAAACTACATGACCGGCCCTATGTGCAGGCACTACATAGATAGAAATTGATATACTACACAACTAACTACGGAGTTGTTTATCAAGGTCAATTGATCAATGAGAATCATATTGCTATTAAGAAGCTTCTAAATAATCTATAAATGTTACCACTATTTAATTTTTAGTCCTGACATCTGTTTAATAATTTATATAGTTTCGCGTTTTATTCACAAGTTTGTAAGTAGTTAGATTATAATACTATTCACGTTCATCGTGCAGTGGACAAGCCGAAAAGGAATTTCGAGTGGAAGTTGAGGTTATTGGTCATGTTAGGCACAAGAATTTGGTTAGGCTTTTGGGTTTTTACATTGAAGGAACTAACAGGTAACGGTACCATCTCTGTCTATATTTTATTCGGGGTTCAATTAAATATCCAATTTTTCATTATTCTTATATATAAATTTAATTAAAAGCATAAAAATGATGTTGAAGTACACTTAGAATAACATATGCGTTCAACGTGAATAATTGGGTTTGTATAGGGTATACAATGTCAGGTGGTTCTGCAGCAAGTTTCAGTCTCTGAGGTGTGCTTCTCTTAGGTTGAGCTCTTAGGCCCTTCGGCGCAGGTTCCATCGATTTTTTGCTGCAACTACTCAACAGTCTGGTGTAGTCATGTTCAGTCAGTTAATATTAATGTCTCGTGGTTGCTTGCGTTTGTGGAGCTAGAGATTTATTAGTGGTTACTGTTTTTTTTCCAACTTGTAATTTTCCCTCATTAATCCTTACTTGAAATAGGTTGGTTATGTTTAGATTAAAGTTTGGTTGGGGGTTATTTCAAGGGTCAGGCGTGCATCTTTATTGTTGTTTTGGTCGGGTGTTTAAATTTATCTGGTGTAATTATTTTTATCAAGGCACGGCTTATGCCTTGTATTCTAATTGTAATTAGTTTTCTTTGCTAAAGAAAAAAAAAGAAAATAGTCTCATAATATTAATTCTATTCATAAATATCAGGTTCATGGTGTGATTTAAATAGATGATTTTCATGCTTATCTTTTCTCTCTCTCTCAATATTTGGTTTAAAACTAAAGGCTCATTTAAACAACATATCATTGAAGTTTTAAAAAAGTATACCATTGATTCACCAAGAACAAATTTTAACAAAAAGTAAATAGAAAAAGAGAGAATGGTAAAGAAATCATGTGAGTGTACGACCTTTAGTTTGCAATGGTGTGGCTGAATAAGTGTTGAAGGAACCTTGTCAACAGACTTTTTGTTATGGAGGAGTAAACTTGATGGATGAATGTTCATGTATTGAGATTGAGTAGGCTGTTGAGCGAGTGTTGAAGGAACCTTGTGAGCAGCCTTTTTCTTACCGAGTCTATATTTCTGCATCACAAGCAATATTGTTCAGTTTAGTCACTCACCGTGTAACAATGATTTCAAGAATAAAACAATACTAGTATTTTGATATAAACAACTGTGCAAGAATATATGTATGTGCAAGAATATATGTATGCAGATGGGAGAATTTTCATCAAGAATGATCAAGATGTTTTGAGATTTGTGAACAACATTCCCGTGATAAAGAATATACATATGCTGCAGATGGGACAATGTTCATCAAGAATCATCAAGATTTATCAAGAACAACAATGATAAACAGAATATGTAACTATACCTGGAGATGGCTTGCGACATGTTTGCTAGTAATGCCATCAACATTCATCAAACCAACTATTTTTTTGGGAACAACATCTGCAAACAAGAAACAAAATCTTGTATATATTAGGGATTAAACAATTCAAGGAGTGAAACAACAAGTATATCTATCCTGTTAGGGTTTGTAGAAAACATACATACCATGTAACCCAAGTAGGTTAACAGCTTCAACAAACTTTGCATGAAGATCATCTGACCAAACAACACGACGTTTCTTAGTATTATTATATGATGACAAAGAGTCATTGTCATTATCTTCATCTTTCTTCCTTTTAGCCATGCCGTCAATCACCACCGCAGCCATATTTATCAAGACAGCTTAGTAAAATTGAAGTGAAAACTGTAAAAGTGAGTGTAATGCTTTATATTGACAGCTTTGGGTGAGAGAGAAATATAATTTAGCTTAGCTTGTGTTATATATATAGTAATTAATTTTACTCATCAATCAACCGACTTAACTTGGAAAAAAAAATCAATAAGAAACACAGCTGACTTGGCAATCCTCCTTTGGTACCATATTTTGATTTGGGTCTATTATAATTCAATAAAAAATAAAAAATATTTTTTAAAGAAAAAAATTGAAGTAAAAACAGTGAAAAAAGTTAGGGTTTTTGTTCTAATTCAATTTGAAGCCCTTTAATTTATGGGGCTTACTTATTTGAGGCTCATTTATTTTAAAAAAATTAAAGATTGTTTCTTTCACTCTGTGTGGTGGAGAAACACCTTAAGGAAATTCAAAAATATCTCGGTAAATTTGAAAAACATTTTTAGATACATTCATTTTACACCAAACATGCATTCTTAACTGATATATATATATATATATATATATATATATATATATATATATATATATATATATATATATATATATATATTTTAAATTAATCTAGAGATGTATCTATGTAGTAGGTTATAGAATTTCAATTATATATTAACTCTATAAGCATCTCATGCATTCATAAATGAGACACATTTATTTTGTCTTAAATTGATTCGGAGACGCGTCTTCGTGAATTGTTACGGGGATGCACATTCGTATTCACCATACACAGTAAATTTTGTTCTTGTTTTTAAATACACTGATGTAATAAACTATGTGTTATAATTATGTTATCTTAATAAAAAAAATTTATAAATTAAACCATACACTTTGTAGTGTATATTTGTAAAGTATAAGACAAGGACGACTCTGGCGTTCCTGCCTAAGGGTGATGTCGTCTGGACGACATCCCCACAAAATAAAACAAGGGGCCTCGTCCTGGGGATTGATGACATATATAAATATTATTATCTCCCATTAGTAAGAAGGGAAGGAGTCCAACATGATTCCCAAGAGAATATGTGGTCAACAATCCCTTAGTTATAAGAGAGCGGTTGTCTCCTTTAAGGATTTCAGAAATCCTAGGCCCAAAAGGCCTCTATAAGTATTTCTCTCCAAGGGGAGAAGCGATAGATCTTAATTCACACATAAAGACCATACTCACACGCTTATACATAAACACCAAACTCAGATACAAAGTCTTTCACCTCACGTGAGCATGTCTTATAGACACTGCCGTGGGCAAGCCGTAACCACCATATAAAGTAATATACCTACATATACATCTAAATTCCTCTGCCATTGCTCGAGGAACATATACACATGTACTTTTGACCAGTATAGTGGAATCCACCATGGGCTCCATCAAAACTAACTTGCGTCACTCATTCTTCATCACCATCACCTTACTTACTATTACCCTTGAAATTGTGGCACTTGCAAGATAAATGTTAAAAAAGCTGACGTTTCAACAAAAACACGATGTCGGAACAAATGTTATAACATCCATTGACAGAAAACTTGCTAAATTTGGAGATTGTACTGAAAGATAAATTGCATAAATTTAAATAACACAATCAATTGTTAACCCAGTTCGGTGTAATGTTACCTACTCTGGGGGCTACCAAGCCAAGAAGGAAACTCATTATGATAATATTATTTCAAATCTAAACCAACCCTAGTTTACAACTTCTCGCCTAATTGATGCATCCACAAGTGTAGGAAATATCGAAGTAATATAAAAGTTTGTTAAACCCATAAATACCAATGTCAACCTACTGTAATCTATTGTCGCTTTGTAAACTTAAGGCTAATGAATGATTGATTAAGGGGAAACCAAGACTAAAATAATATTAAAGAAATATATAATAAAAGAGAGAGGCTGGAATATGGGTTATGTGTATCTCAGGGACTCTATAACTTGTAGTCTTACACCGGACTCTATACAATTTAGCTAGACATGGAATTAATTAAAAATGAATTAAACATAGCAACCGCAATTAAAAACAACATGGTAATTAAATTTGAAAAACAAAACAATAATGATAAATAATGCGATAAAAAGAAACTTATAAAGATGAAAGCTTTCTGAAATAAACTTCTATTATAATGGCAAGATTGTGATCCAAGAGTACATAGATTGTGATCCATGGAACTAACAATCTCTCCTTTGGCAAATTTTGGCTAAAATAATCAATGCACAGAAACCCTGGAGAGAGGAATAAAACGACAACACAAGCTACATGCAATCATCTAAAATTTGTACAAACTTCATCCATAGAATGTATCAGAGACAACACTACAGTTATAAATCATCATCTTCAAAACTTCATAAGAACAGATGTTCAGACATGTGGTCTAATATCACACAACATAGCTCATCCACAACACAAGAGCTAGAGAAATTTGACAGGTCCAATACTCCCCCTATCATACATGATGAAGACTCCCCCTCAAAGGGAAAACCCAAATCACCTGAAAATCCTGTAAACTAAATATGAAATACCCAAGTTCACACATCAGAGGCAACAATATGAACTACCCAAGTTCACACATCAAAGGTAGCAGTAGTAGAAGATAAAATATCCTCACACCAGGATTTCCACATAGGAAGCAAGATGTCAGAACATCTGGTAAGATATCTACACATAAACTCCACCAGAAGAAGCAGCAGCAGTACCAACCAAGCATGAAATACTATCATGCTTCCCCTAAATAGTTGCATCCAGTAAGCAACCACAATAAGTACTCTCTCCTTAGCAGTATCACAATCCTATCAACGTGTTAATCAACATGTCAAGACATGTTCCATAACATTAGGACACACATAACACACTAACACTTTACTCCCCCTTTTAAGCTAAAAATTGACAAAAAGTAGAATAAATGTAAACAGAATTGGAAGCACACATGGAAACACACATAGCCCAAAATCACAAAACACATATGGAAGCACACATAGCGGATGGAAACACACAAACTTCAACAACTTTAGATGGTCATCCACCTCTTGCCCCTATCAAAGATCCTCCTGCACTCCTTGGTAATGTCACCATACCTCTATAGAGAGTCTTTGTTCCATCTAATAGTAACTAGCTTAGGCTTCCTAAGCATCAAACCATAGAGGAAAATGCAATATCAGTTGCACTCCTCCAAATTTGTAATTGCTATAGCTCCTCAATAATGCATATTTTGAGTTCACCCCTTAGCTTTTTAAACAGATTTGTATCCAAAGCTTTGTTGAAAATATCAACCATTTATTTCTCAGTGGCTATATGCTTCAGAGTAATCACCTTATCTTCAATAAGATCTCTGATAAAATGATAATGAATGTCAAAGTGCTTTGTCCTGCTATGTTGAATAGGAATTTTTGAAATATTTATAGCACTAATATTGTCATAATATAATATCATGACATCTTGCTAACAATTGTTTGATCAATGGTGGCCTCAATAGAAAAAGAAGTACTTCTCCATGCCCGACTTTCTTCAAAGGCTTATCGACGCCTTTAATGCTTTGGAAACTCGACAGGAACAAGAACGCCTTTCATCGATCAACTTGAACCAAACTTTTCCTTCTGAAAAGGTGCTTGAAACAACACCTTCCTTTTTTGTAGACTCGGTCTCACCAGGGCATAACATTGTGTCATCCAACTTAAAGGTACCTCTTTTTCTCTTCTCTCTCGGCTTCTAATTTTGTTCCTTATGTTAACTTAACCAAAATCCTCCCAGGGGCCACCTCATGCAGGTGGCGTCGAACTGAATCCAACTAGAAGAATTCATGTTAGTGACAACACTGCAAGGTCCAGTCATTCATCTTTCATCAAACCTACCTGTCACATTTTGCATGATACTCTGTCTTTCGACTTCGCCACCCAGAATGAGATTGAAGTGTTAAAGAAATAAGATCCAATGGCAGCCTTTAGGAAGATTCACCTTCTCCGGCACACCATAATTGCTTCCCTAAATCTTAGTTCGATGTCTCTACCCATTGTTGAACTGGACGTTGAAGTAATCCATGCGCTTCATGAGCTAAGGTATTTTTTTTTTTGAAAGTGAGTTTTAACAAAAAGTAAATAGAAAAAGAGAGAATGGTAAAGAAATCATGTGAGTGTACGACCTTTAGTTTGCAATTGTGTTGCTAGCACAATTCAAAAATGGATCCAATCAAGTACATATTCGAAAAGCCCGCTCTGTCTGGAAGAATAGCAAGATGGCAAATGATCTTGACA